GCCACAAATCATATCCACGGCGGAACTAAGGCTGGGCTCCCGTGAAGGCTCCCTCCCTGCCCTCGGGCCCTCGGTCGCTCTGGATGCACTTGGCCAAAAGAGAAGGGACAGCATGTGGGCCAGGGGACAGCCCTTTAGCTCAGTGGATACAAAGGGGGCCAAAAGCTTGAGCTGATTGCTGGGTATACCTGCACCAGCTCTGTGTGGCCTGGCCACACAGCACCAGGAAAAGAATCAGGGAGGCCTGCAGAATTTCTAAGCACCCCAGGAATTACTCAGGGCCCTAGGCATGGCTGGATTTAGCATTTGGTAAAACTGACACACATTAAGAATCTAGAACAATAACAAAATTGGGCTTAGCCATGACCCTGGAATAGGGGAGGGAGCAGGGGCCAGAATGGCAGCAGCTCCTACGTGTCCTCCTCTCACCACTTCTTGCCCCTCGGCAGACGGAGCCACCCTGTCATGACAGCCAACCCTCCCCCTGCCCTGCAGAGATGCCTGCCAGCCCTTGGGAGGAGTGCCACCCAAGTAAGTAGTCAGGGCCACCTGATAGCCACCTGCTTCCCAACAGGGTGCGGGTCAGGATCATCCAGGCTCGTCATCAGAAGAAGGTGGGGACCTGAGGCTCTAGGAAGGGAATGGCCTGACCCCTTGGAGGCCATAGGACACAGAAGCTGAGGACAGGATCTGGAGATCAGAGCCGGGTTTGAGATGTAACTCTGTAGCATATTACAGGGCCGATCTTGTGGGAGTTACTCAGCCGGCCTTCAATTTTCTCCTTGGTGAAATAAGGTGAACGCTGGGACCTATCTCGGAGTTGCAGTGAGGATTAAGTAAAGCAATTCCTATAAGGGCTTAGTAGAGGACACGGCACACAGTAGGACTCATTGATGGTCACGTTATTGTTGTGTTAAAACTCAACACAACAATGTTGTGTTCCTTCTGTTACCATCTTACTGGCTGATGGAGCAGGCGAGGCAGAGCCATTCCCAGAAGATGGGGATCTGACTCCCACCCCCTCTACCAGGTAACATCTCACACACGATCAGTTTCTACCTGTCCAACTCCTAGCCGTCCTGCAGGATGTCAGCACAGGTGGTCCCCTCCTCCAGAAAGCCCACCCTGAAGCCCTCTCCATCCCTGGTGGGTCAGGTTACCTTCCCGGGATTCAAGATCCTGTGCAGCCCCCGTCACAGTGGAGTTACCGGTTCTCCTCTCCTCACCTGAGAGCTCGGGGTACACAGGGAGCATTCTGCTCTGATGACCGGAGTAACTACACTCCATCCACACTCTGAGCACTGACTGCGCCCGAGGCCCTGGTCTGGACTAAGTGCCTTGCATGCATTTCCTCACCTGGTGCCTCCTCCCCAGAGAGATCATCCTCACTCCATTTCACGGATAAGGGAGCAAACCTGGCTTCTTATGCTGGCTGTGCTGTACACTAAGCCTGTGGCCTCAGGCGAGTTATTTAATGTTTCTGAACTCACCTGTGCATGGAACCGCTGCTCCCACAGCCCCGCGCTCCGAACTTTTGGTTTCGTCTCCATGCTCAATGAGTTGGTGTCCTCTGGTGAGGTTTTCTGTGGACTCACGTTGGGTCATTTCAGGGCACTGGAGTCAGAGAAGCAAGGACCCTTCTCCCATCCTACTCTGAGCTCTAGGACTGCCTCAAGAACCCCTCCGAACCCCTCCGCCCGCAGTTCCTTGAATGGCTCCGCCAGACTTCCACCTGGGACAGCAATCCACAGGGTTTAGGGATGCTGCCACCTGGCGGCCATAGGCCATCAGGACGCAGGGGAGAGGATGGCACACTGACTTGGTGGGTTGGAAGCAGGGCCCCTCTCTGCTTAGTGTATGGCCAGCGGTCAGCTGTAACACGTGTTTGGGGACGGCAGGGCAGCTGACTCCAGTGAGCACCACCCATCAGACACCACAGCTCCACGGTTAAGTCCAAGAGTCCCACAGACTGGGTCCAAGTCCTCGTTCTGACCCTCTCCAGACACGTGGCCTCGGTCCGCTAATCACTGTGAGTCTCAGCTTCCCCTCTGGAGTATGGGTAGCCTCCCGCTCCAGTGTCAGGGCCATGTTCCCCATCAAGAGCCTGGAGATTCTTCCTGGAGCCTCCTCTTGACCTCATTGTTGTAAAAAGGGAATTAATATTAGACTCATGCCAATTGCGTATCCAACTCCAAAATCCTGTTTGTTCTGAGCAAAACCTGAAGCCTTCCGAGAACTGGGGTCTGTGCAGCTGCCGGCCGGCTCTGCCCACCCCTCTCCCCAGGTGCCTCTTCACTCTGCTCTGTGTCCAGGGCTCTGCCAAGGGCAGGTTTCCCTCTGCTCGGCACTCGGTGCTTCAGCCGTCACACAACAACAACAGATTGCCCTTGTCTTAAAGAGCAGAAACCAGGTTCAGAGAGGTTGAGTCACTTGTCGGGGGTCTCTGACACCAGAGTCCTTGCCTGCCCATCAGTGCAGAAAGCCCCAGAAGCTCTTGTTCTGTCCCTGAGTTCTCCAAGGAGCACATGACAGGGGACATCTGCTGGAAGGGCCTGTCCTAGCCGAGGAGGCCAAGCAGAGGGAAACCAGCACCTCCACTCCCCCTCCTTTCGCCTGATTCCCGCCAGCCGGTGGAAGATGCAGCTGGGCAGGGCTTCCTCTGGCCAGATCAACTCCCTGGCTGTTTCGGTTCCCTCTTTCTGGGGGCTGCTCTGAACCGAGCTACGCAAGGACTGGGAACATATCTCTTCTGCCTGCCCTCTCCGGCCAGGGCTGGTAGTGTGGACAGAGCCCGCCTCTCACAGTGGCAGTGGGCAGTGGGCAGGAGGTGTCCCATCCCCAAGAGAGGACAATGAAGGCCCAGAGAGAGATGGGACTCACCCGAGATCCTACACATAGGGGCAGCAAAGCCCCCTGCCAGGCTTCTGTCCACGGCCCACCGCCCTCCTCCTCTGGTAGGCGGGAGTACATGGGTACCATCAAAACTGGAAGGTGGGAGGTGAAGGCCCTCTCCCATGGCCCAGAGACACTCAGCTGGCCAGGCAGTCCGGGCCAGGGAGACCGATGGGCAGAGAGGAAAGGCTGTGGAACATGGCCAGCCACCTTCCACTCCATAGGCTCAGCCCCATGTGCGTTTGCAGCCCCTGAAGCCCCTCGGAGTGGCCATTGGGCTTCTGTTTCTGCATCCACATGCCAGGGAGGTACAGCTGTCTGTACTGAGAGGGGGCACGGTGCTGGCCAGAGTCCTGGGCTCTGCCCGAGCTGCCCAACCTGCACGTGGCTTCTCTCCCTCATAAGCCAGTCCGCATGCCTGCAGTGCTACTATTAGAGCCACCACCTAGAGGAAGAGTGCCGTGGATGAAGGCAGAGATCAGGGCCGCCCTTTCACAGCCATGGGAGGCCAGTGCCTGCTGGCCAGCCACCCGGAGCCAGGTGGGAGGCCTGGAGCAGCCTCTCACGCAGCTCTCCAGAGGAGCCCACTCCATCGAGAAGATCTGGGACTTCTCCAGGCCTGCCAGACAGATTTCTATTGTTCAAGGCCCCAATGTGTGGTGCTCTGTAATGGCAGCCCCAGGAAACCAATACGCCAGTCAATCCCCACAGACATAATTCAGCATTCTGACCTCACCACCACAGGCCTGTCCTGGGGATTCGTGGGCCTGGACGCAGACCGTCCGGGGCAGCAGTGTGCCTGGCTTCTTCGGCTCTGCCTACGGTTCTGAGCTTCATCTGCGTTGTGTGCGCATCGTTAGTTCCTTCTCTTTCTACTGCTGTGTAGTGTTCTGTCGCACACGGCACACGACTGATTTATTCGTTCTCCTCTTAATGGACATTTGTGTTGCTTCCAGTTTGGGGTTAATGCTTGGTTCGCTCTGGGGGCAGACACAGTTCTCGTTTCTGGGGAGGCTGGTCCCCTGGGAGGCCCTTGGTGGTGCACTGGCTGGGACAGGCAGTGGTGGACAGCAGTTTTCAGAGCTCTGTTCTCTGTTTTTCCTTCTTAGTTACTGAGCAGCCGACTAGGGTCTAAATGCTTAGAAAAGAGGAAGCAGGCAAGGAGCACTGAATGGGACCCAGAGGGGCTTCAATTCCATTATCCCTGGGGTGTGGCCTGCTGAGACCTCCGGGGCCACAGGAACCAGCCCTGAGGAGTGAGTCAGCAGCCAGCCGGGAGGTGAGGCAGAGCAGGGAGGCTCCTGCTGGTTGACGGGGGTGGCCGCCTGCACCACTCACCCGGACACCCTCCAGGAGTCCCCAGCATGGGGTTGTTGGAAAAAAGAGAAAGGATTCTGTTCCCAGCTCATTCTGGGACTTGGGCCACACACTGTCTCCCTTAGGGCCTTAGGCGCCTCCTGTATAAGGTGGACACAGGTCTATTGCCGCCTTGGCAGGGTGGCGGGTACGGTGGAGACAGTGTGACCACACTGGTGAACTGTGAATAGCTGTGCCGGGGGAAGGATTAGCACCGTCGTGGCACTGGGTCACTTCTAGGACAGCAGAACCCACGTGCTGAGCAAGCATCCATCTCGGTGTCTTCCAGACTGCCCTCGGAGGCCAGCAGAGCCCAGGGGGTGGGGACGTGGAAAGTGGCTTTCTTGCTGTCCTTCCATGAGGGAGGCCACCCAGTGTGAGTGGCTGTTTCCTCCCTTCCCCTGAGGCCCTGCCATTTCCTGGGCTCTGGGGGGACCGCCACGGTGCCCCAGCGCAGCCTCAGCGCTCCCTTCGCAGCTCCCCACAGGCAGTGGGGGCACCAATGGGCATCCCGGCCCTCTGTCCAAAGAGGCTCCCCTTTCTAATAAGCCTGGGGTGCTTTGCCCCCACATGACCGGCAGGAGAGAAGAGGGACAAGGCTGATACCCCGGACACAGCTCTCAGTCCCTGGGGACAGAGGGACACAGAGACTGGCTGGGCTGAAACCCAGGAGGGAGCCAGTCTTTCCAGGGGCCTCTCCTAGCAGACTGGGGGTGCTCGACCTCCCAGCTGTGGGACTGCACTTCTGCAATAGAAAGCCACACTTCGTTCTCTCTTCTAAAAGGAAAAGGGAAGAAGCGACACAACTGGTGAGAATTCTGACACAGCACCTCCCTGAACCGCAGCCGTAATGGTCGTTTCCGAAAGCGCCCATCCGGGGTCCACTTCCTCCTAAGAGCTCACGGCAAAAGTGCCAGAGCCAGCCAGGCCCCTGGAGGTAAGGTAGGTGGAGGTAGAGGGATCTGAACCTCCAGTGGGGGGAGGAGCCCTTGTGGGGCTGGCGGGGAGGCCCCAGGGCTTCCTGCCAGGTACACACCCCAAAGTGTCTTCCTCCTGCCTCGTTCCGCAGGCAGCGTTGGCAGGACCGGGGTTCTGCTTCCAGAGAACAGCTGGGGTCCTGGGGACATGAGTCACAGCTGCTCTGGGGAGAGTGCCGCTCTGGAGTGCTCGGAGAACAAGGTCACATGAGTAGCAGTGACCGTTCTTTCAGAGGGTCACTCTTAGGGCCCCCGGGTCATGGGGTCGGTTGCTTCTTGAGAGCGAACTGAGTTTCTGGCCAGGCCAAGGGCTTGGATGCTGGGCCCAGCTGTCCTGGACCAGCTTGCATCACACTCTTCACGGAGGAGAGTCTTTCTGCAGGTTGGGGCTGGAGCAGGGTGTGGATGGAGACGTGTGTGTGTGTGTGTGTGTGTGTGTGTGTGTGTGTGTGAGTGTGTGTGTCAGGGAAGAGGGGGTGTCCTGAGGGGCCCACCCCTCACCATCAGACTGGAAGGTCTCCATTATTAGCCAGCTTCATCCACTAGGCAGGAGGGACAGAGGGGCAGGGACTCAGAGGGACATCGAACCTGCACCACAAGTGACAGGCTCCCTGTCCCACAGCCTTTAAGGACCAGAGTCCAATATTGGGTCAGCGTGAGCCTGATTCCATGTGATTCTCGTTTAGCTGTTTGGCGAATGTGCCCCCAAATCCCTTCCCTGGCCAAGCCCCATCTGCACTGGGCAGTGTGGCAGCTCGGGCCACACTCTGCCCTCCCAAGGCCTCGGAGAGATGGGAGGAGGGGAGCTCAGGGAGGACCGGACAAGGACCCAGAGCTCTGACATGTCATGCAAGGAGGAACCGAGTGGGGGGCTGGCCAGGTGGGTGCCCAGGTTGGAGGGGTCTTCCTGCTACGGGGGTCAGAGGGCAGGAAGCGAAAACTGCCTTCCCAGAAGAGGTCACATTGGCATCAGGCCTTTAGAGAAGAGCAATCTCTGGACACAGGGTTGGGATGGAAGGTACACTCTCAGTAGAGAAAATTGTGTGAGCAGAAGCCTGATGCTGGGCAAGCGTGTGATCAGTTGTTCAAACACACTCAGCCCTGTTGGAGGCTGGTTTCTGCTGCAGGCAGGTCCCAGACCACATGGCACTAGTGGCTCCGGCGCAGAGTGTGTGTCCCTCAGACAGGTGCAGCAACAAAGCTGGCCATTGTACTTAGCCTTCCCACCAGTGCCAGTGAGGCTTGAAGGACAAATTACTGGAGGCGGAGTGACTGGGACAGTGTGTGTGTTTCACGCTGAGGCGGAACACTGCCGGCAGCCCTCCGTGGAGCCTCGATTAGTCCTGGAGCAGGACACCTTTCCTGCCAGGGTCTGCCTTCCGCCCCAGACAATGAGGATGCGACACTCACCAAAATCAGGCCCATAAGCACTTGGCTTCCCGTGGGGATGTGCTAGATGTTTTCATTGCTCCTTTGGGCGCGCAGGCAGCCTCTCTGATCTCCCAGAGCAGGGGTTCCCCCTTCTGTGTCCCTCCGTAATCTTGACGCTGGAAGCTCCTGGCTCTCCCGCCAGCTGGGGGTTTGTTCCCTTACGTCCACCGGACCCCAGCAGCTGGTCAGAGGAGGGCCCAGCAAGGGTTCTGTTGTGACTGTCAGATACAAGGAACCCGTCTGTCCTTCCCTTTCTGTGAAGCAGGGCCAAACTGTCCCCAAATACAGATGGTCACCAGAATTCCACTCAGCAAGCCAAAACATCTTCTACTTTGCATAGGCAAGGTCGGGCACACCTACGTTACAGAAAAGAATATGAGAATTCAGAGAGGGCAGGCGGCAGGCCCCACTCGCAGGCTGGGAGAAACGAAGCTGGGTCAGAATCCTCCCCAGCACCCACGGTCGGTGCTTGGCTCTGTTTGGCTGGAGGTGCTCCGGGGTCCCTGAGCCGGGCAAGCACGTCTGGGCTCAGCGAGTCAGAGGTGGGCCTGGCCCCAGCCACGCCTGTGTGTCTGTGTTCCATCCTTCCCAGGCTCGCATCCATGGAGAGACACCTCACGGTCCTTCGAGTGAGCCTGCACCACCCCACCCGGGGCCCCGCAGTCTTCGCCACCGTCCCCCTGAGGCTGCAGCACGACACCAGCCCGCTGCTGGTGGGGCGCGGCCTGGACGCCCACCTCCGGCTGCCTCTCCCTCGCCTGTCCCGCCAGCACCTGTCCCTGGAGCCCTACCGGGAGAAGGGCAGTGAGGTGCTGGCCTTCAACCTCAAGGCTCTGAGTCGCAGGGGCCAAGTGTGGGTCAACGGGCTGACGCTGAGATTCCTGGAACAGGTCTCCCTGGGCACTGTCAACAAAGTTGTCTTCTCCGGCCTCCAGATGGTGGTCTGCGTGGAGGGAGGCACCTCCCTGGAGGCCTTTGTCTGCTGCTTCCAAGTCAGCCCCTCGCCCCTGATTTGCAGGCCCCAGGCTGAGGAGACTGACGAATGGGAAGACATCCCGGAGGAGCCACCTGCCCCAGGTTCGGAGCAACTGGCTCCAGGCCACCTGGGCTTTCTCCATGGCCCTGCCCAGACTGGGGACAGCTCACCCCAGCCAAGCGTGGGAGGAGGCCCAGAAATACAGCCCCAGAGGGAGCCCACAGACGGCATGCTCTGCTAGCCCCGCCGCCAAGAGCACGCCTCGGCTGAAACAGGGCTGGAAATATTCGAACTATAACAGGCGACTCTGACAAGTGGGGCCTGCCTGGCTAATAATGAACTGATTCTGCAAACACGAACTGTGCCGGGGTGGGGGGACGTGCCCTCCGTGCTTCCAGCTCTGCAAGGCAATGAGAACGTCATATACTTTTAGAGGTGCTGAGGGGCTCTGGGAGTGCTCCTCAGCATTTTTCCACATTTCACGGTCTTGTCTGACTAGGAGTTACTTTATGTTGCTAATTTTGTGTGCTGCTTAAGAGTGGGATTTTGAGGTTGCAGCAGGAACGCACGGACACATGTAACAATTACGTTTGTGGTAGCTGGGGGTTACCTTCGGCTCTCAAATACCCACAGGCACTGGGGGCTTAGGGAAGCCTGTGTTTAATAAACTACAAGTATTTCATTAAGCTGGCATGCCCAATAGGAGCCCCTGGTCCCCAGATGGGCTGCATGCATGCCACATTGTCACAGAGAGGCAGGGGCAGGAACTACAGAAGAGGTGTAAGAGGAAATTGGAGAGGCGGAGGCTCGCATTTCTGGAAAGGATGCAAGCAGAGCTCGGGGCTTCCTGGGCATGGGGAGCTGGGGGCCGGGCCTGCCTGAACATTCGTTGTCACCATTATCCTCCTCATCTTCACGCTCCACCATTCTCGGTCATTTCTGGATCAAAGCCTTGGCTGACTAGAGGGCGCAGAGGTCTTCGGGGAAAAGGCAGCTTCCCAGAGAAAGGAGCTGTTTCAGGATTAATTCTGGGAGAGGGCGGGTGGGAGGCTGTGTTAGAATTCGGCCAGCAGTTATTGCACTCAGGGCAGGTCATGCATCCATGGGACGGGGTGGTCTTTTCAAATAAGGGACCAGTAGGTGCCGGGTGGGATAGTTTTCTCGGCGAGCAGAGGACCAGAGGAGGAGTGTCAGTGAGATGCTGCATCCCTTGAGCCCTGGGTCCAGGGGGACACAAAGGCAGGAAGAAGCTCCGTGAGGACGTGGTGGCAGATGCATCCGTCAGCACCATCTTGGCCATGGCCTAGAGCCAGGAAGGCCGTGACTAAGCACAGGCATCCCACGCAGGACTTCAGCTCACTGTGTCCACGGCTTCCTGTTCTGTGCCCGCGAGACCTCAAGTTCCATGCAGACAGAACCACGGATTGTCCACGGTTGTGTTCCCAGTGGTCATCACGGAGCTGGGCAGAGGACGGACGGGCAGACAGGTGTGGGTGGTCAGGGAAGCAGTCACCTTGGCTGTGGCTGGGCACAAGCCAGCTTTCCCGGGCAGGGGAGGGCAGCGCAGGACAAGCAGCGGGCCAGGCAGCTGGGTCGGCAAGGCTGCGAAGCCACGGGCCGACTGCAGGCAGCAGCTCACAGCTCTCACTGGCACCGGGCCTTCGTGGGGGCATCCTGGGCCCTCGGCTGGGTCCCAATAAGGCCAGTGCTTCTGCCTCATTACTGACTCCCCGAAGCCCAAACTCAACCAGATCTCTGGGTGTTTGTAATTCTTGGTGGTGACTGCTGAGGAAGGTTGATAGATTTGACAGTGCCCCATGGCACTGAGAGATAGCTCCTAGCCAGCACATCTGTCCTGCCCCTAACAGAGGCCCAGAGTGGGGACAGACACCTGCAGGAGACCCTGGTTCAGGAGCTGCAAGCAGAAGCAGTTGGGTGGCTGAACTGAACCTTGGCCTGCAGCCCACCAGGTCTCCACAGGACCTGGCTGGACCCTCTCCCCAGCCCTCACCTGCACCCAAGCGCAGTGCAGGCCAGCCCCTGCTCACCTCCTTCCTCAAACTCACCGAGGAACACCCTCCCTGTACCAGCGCCCCACCCACACAGGCCAGGCAGTCCAAGAGGCTCCCTGCGGCTGCCGAGAACTGAGACGTGCCTCGCTGGAGGCATCTGCATTTTGAAAGGAGAGACTGGAGAGGGTCTCGCTGGCCCCAAGGAGTGAGTTTCCTTGCAGGAAGAGTGATGTGACAGTTCACAGGGTGCAGACATTTCCCCTTCCCCTTAAATGCATGGTCCCTTCACACTTGCACAAATCCAGATCTGATCCAGGGGCTGGCTCAAGGTCTCCCTGTGACTAAGTCGTAGAGCTGAGACAGGAACTGAGAGCTCCGTCTTTCCACAACAGCATGCTGGGCAGCCAGTTCTTTAGTCCGAAAAGGAACAAGCAGAAGCGAGTAAGCCCCAGGCAGCCTGGGCAGTTCATCTGCACCTTCAGGGCCTCCCCCTCCCCGACCCCATGCCGCCCTCCACTGGTGGACTGTGTGTGCTGCGCTCTCCACCTCGGCTCTGTGTCCTCTTCTTCCTCCACTCCCCTCCAGTGGCATCTGGTGGTGCTGACGTTGCAGCCCGTTAGCTGGCTCCCAGAGCATCCGGACCCTCCAGCTGCTCTCCCTGAATTCCCGAGCACCCCCGCACTCCCCGCCGGGCCAGGCACCCATGGTCCATGGCAGGATGTGGGGCAAAGAGTAAACAAGCCCAGCTCCTCTGCCTTTGAGAGGAGATCCCGCAGTTAATGAACTCTGTTCGCATTGCAGGGCTGTGATCCCTCTTACCTTGAACGTGAACTTGCGGGTGGATTACAGTGAAATAAAACCTACTATTTGAGTTACATTCTCAGCTGATTGGAAACATACATTACCTCCCCATGACCGGGCTGTGAGAAGGGAAGTTATTATCTTTCTTCAGAGTCTGTAAACTCTTTATGGCTGAGGCCAGCTTTAATCCTGCTGGAGAAAAAAAAATGATCCGGGGAAAAAATTGCTCTCATTTACCTTTGTTTTCCAATCACATGCTCCAGTGGGAACAAAACATCTTAAGTGAGGGGATGTGGGAAGCCAGGTGATCCCAGACAGGAGAGTTTAATTATTTTCTTCTTCAGGCACAGGGTTGGAAGGGCCTGCCGGTGCCGGTGGCGTGGGGGCTCGCGCCACATACACGTGCGTGACACCCGCACTCCTGCGCGGTCACTGGCCTCTGCCTTTCCCTCCCAGGGGAGCGTGGCCTCCACTTCCCCACAACACCCACTTCTTTGGGGGCAGGGCACTGGCAGCCACAGCACCCAGCTCCGGGCACTTGCAAAGACCAGGGAGGGGTCTGAGAAAGAGTAGATTGGGATCGAAATCTAGTCCCAGCCCAGGACGGGGGAAGAGACCGTGGGGTTCGTGTTTCTGGAAGGGCTTTCTTTCCGCCTCTGTTAGTTCTCTGTTCCCTAACGCGGAGCTTACACAGAGCGGAGCCGTAGAGCAGGCACCCAGCACAGCCACCAGGTCGACTGCTCTCACTGCTGGAAGGCGTCCCAGCTGAGATATCTGCCTGTTTTCCTTTCAAGATGCAGAGGAAGGGGTGGGGTGGGGAGTCTGCTGAAGATGGCAGAGACCGGCACCTTCGGAGGGAGAGCTCAGGCAGGCAGCCCACCCCGCGGCCTCCACAGTGGTCTCTCTACATTCTCTCATTCACTGCAGTTTGCTGAACTAAGAAAATGGACCCGACCTATCACGTCACCTGCTTGGGGGGTGCGGTGGGGAGTGTATCAGTCAGGATCCAGTTGGGAACATAGAAGCCGCTCTAAGTATTTCAGAAATTTAATTCAGGGAAACGGGTGCACAGGCGGTGTTGCGGAGAAGCCACACGGGCGATGCCATTCAGAGTCAGAGACCGGCCAGAGCGGGAAGTTGCTGCCACTGCCCATCCCCACCCCAGGGCCGCAGGGGCGCCTGGGAAAGATGAGTCCCTGGAGCCAAGAGGAGACGCAGCTGCTGAGATGCTGAGAGAGAGGGCCACATACCCTGGCTTCTCCCTTTCCCAAGGAGTGGGGCCCCCACTGGCTGAAGCCACCCAGAAGGCAGCTAACCGGCAGCCTAGGCAATGCGGCCTGCAGGCCAGAGTAGGGGAGGCAAATGGTCAAAGCCAGCCCAGGGAGCGAGCCCACTTCAGTGCCCCTCCGTCCCAGCCTGGAGCCCTGGGGTGGCCGCCACGAATGGAGAGGGACACACAGTGGAGAGGCCTCCACAGCCCAGGGCCTCCGGGAGGCAGTCGGCCAACACAGGTTGCCCTCCACCAGGGGCGTCCGCACCTCTGTGACCTTTGGCGCCTTTAAAAAAGGAGTGAGAAGGGCACAAAGGACAAGTGCCATTCAGGGAGCTACAAAGAAGAGCTGGGTTTAGTCCGGCCTGGCCCACAGAATCCCAGCCACTGGGACATCTGCTCTGAAACCCTACCCCTCCCCTCTTAGAGGCGGGGCGTCAGAGCTGGGTCTACATCCCCAGCCCCTCTGCTTACAGACAATGGCCTTCCTCCCCTGAGTCCCTTCTCCTCCAGCGTTAAGTGGGGACAGGACTGGTACCTGCCTCACCTCCGTGATGACAGAAACACACCTGGAGGGAGGGGACTTTGCTCCTCCCCTGGGAAACGCTCCAGTCTCACTAACCACCGCCCATCCCAAAACATTCCTTCCTCCAGGACGCTGCCCTGACTTTTTCCACTAAGGAGCCGCTGGCTCCAGGCCAGCGTTGGGGCACTCAGAAGGGATTTCCAGGCAGTGGTCCGTGGGTCGGGAGGTGTCCCCTCAGCTGGGAATGTGCACCGGCTGTGTGCTCTGTGTCGTGCTGGAACCTCCCCCAGCAGAACCCCAGGGGGAAGAGCTTGTCGTGGACCTGTCTGGATTTGTCCCTCTTGGACGGAGCAGCCACCTGGCATCCAGTAGAGGGTGTATAAGGGTCTGTTTTCTGACTCACAAGACACGGAACTGAGAGAAAGAATTTGGGCGGGGTGATAGCCGACCTTCAGGAATGAGGCTTTGGGAAGAAGCTCAAACAAACAACAAATCTCCTAGCCAAAAAGTTAAAATGAGTTTTAAACAAGTCGCTGCTCAGGGTGGGAGGAGACTGGCGTGAGCGGTGGGCTCCGAGAAAAGACTCCCTGCGTGCATAGGCCCCTGAGCCCAGGAGCCAAGGGCAGACCCGGTAGGACCAGGAGAGGCCCACAGCCCCAACCACTGTCCCGCTCCCAGAGGAGCCTGTCTCTGGGACGCAGCACGACCGCCCAGCCCCTCCCCACGCAGAAACACACGCATGAGGACCAGGGCCCCTGAACTTGGAGCTCTGCCCTGGGAGCCCTGGAGGCAGGCAGGCTGGATGCTTGGCGTCAGGGGCGTCCAGAACTAGCTTGGGGCCTCATTACTGAGGAGTACATGGTCCCCCGTGGACACTCGTTGGAGGCCAAGTCGGGGAAGCGAACGAGACAGGGGCTCCATCGTTCAGTTTTACACTCCTCTCCCCTGGGCCTGCAGTTGCCGGGCAGGTTCCAAGTGGAAACATCAGGAAAGCCTCAGGCGGTCTGACTCCCCCTGCCCCTGCCTGCCCCCCAGCACTCACTCACACGTGCACACACACACGCACACGCCTGCCTC